GCCGTGCTGGCTCAATCGCCCTGCCGCTGCTCCGCTCGCTGCTGCGCTAAGTTGCGCTATGCTGCGCTCCTGCTTCAGCCCCTGCGCTAAGTTTAGCGCATCAAACAGCGCTCTGGCGCTGACCATACCGTACCGGTATAGTGCCGGTAGGTCGATACCTCTACTGAGGCAGGTACCGGTACTTATACCGGTAGGCCATGGTCTGGCCTCAATGCTGCGAGGCCAGGCCAGACCCTGGATCGTCCAGATGGACGGTTCAGCCTCCATCGGCGGGTGGCAGCCTCAAGAGCGCCGCCAGGCCTAAACAAAGTGTCGTTTGGGCCTGCCCGCTGGGCTGAGTGCAAAATCAGGCCTTTAGGGCCTGTGACCCTCAAAGGTCGGGCCTTTAGGCCCTGGTGTGTCCCTCCGGCCCTAAGTCGGGTCCGGTAGGACCCGTGTGACTCGAAGATGTAACACGGTGTGACTATTTGGCTTTCAATGTGATGGTGTGATCTGGAATTGTCATCTCGCTGTTACTTATTTTCCTTGCATAATAATGAAAAATAGAAAAAATAAAACGAGAATGAACTTATTGAGTGGGCGAGCACGTTTTGGACACCGCCATCTTTGGTGATTTTTCATTTTTTTTTGGCTGTAACAAATGCCATGAAAATTTATATATGTGTATCTTACATAATAGAGAATATACAAATAAAGTTTGAAAAAAATATATATATTTTTTTCATGCCCCGAAATAAAGGAAAAACAAAAAGTGAAAAGAGAGAAAAAAACAAATTAGTGAGTGGGCAAGCAAGTTTTGACACCACCATCTTTGCCGATTTTTCATTTTGTTTTGGATGAACAGAATGGCTTCAAAATTAAGAGGGAGATACCTTGCATCACAAAGAACTCAAAGAAAAAATTTCAGAAAAAACAAATAATATTTAGGTGCCAAAATAATTTTTTGCAGGGTCCGAACCCCTTCAGGTTCGGGCCCCGTACGGGGACCCGAAAGCCCGAACGTTCGGGGGTCAGCTTAGGGGCCTCCGTACGTTCAGCCTGGCAACCCTGTATATATATTATAACATATGGGCTATCAGCTAGGCCCCTCCCATTCACTCCCTTTTGTCGTGCTGTGTATGCCTTTTTCATGTGCGAATCCCTTCAATCAGGTGATGCTGAGACCGACACTGGGACTGCAAAAGTCCAGTCAGTAGTGATCAGTTCGGAACCTGAACTTGGACTTGAACTGGATTGCAACTGCGTCGTTGACAAGAATGAGACAGAGAGCCAGACGGTTTGCGGAGCTGATGGAAAGAATTATACAAGTGCTTGTTTTGCCAGATGTGTTGGATTCAGCTTCAACGCCGGTCCATGCGGTAAAAGAGAGAGAGGGGGAGAGACCCCTGCCTTTCCTTCCTTGTTGTTGTCCTTTTTTACTCTTTTCTTTTCTTTTCCTTTTTGCAATTGAACAGTACGTATTGGACCATTTCTTGATTTATGTGTGTCATCTTTGCCCAGGGGCCGTGGCAGCCGTGCTAATCTTTTTTCTTTTCTTTTTTTTTTTTTAAATAACTCCAGTTTCTCCGCTAGGAGGGGTGATAAGAACACCCCCTCCTAGCGAGCATCCTGGTTGCTCTGATCTATAATTGGTGGGGAGCAGCACCTGCTGGAAACCGCGTCCAGCGTCCCATTACATATCAAAGGACTTGAACTGTACTGTGTCGACCTGCCAGCATTGATTGCCCTTGTCACCAGGGGATTGACTGCGCAGGTAATGAGATAGATGAAGATTGAGAAAGTTAGGCTTTTGGACGTAGCTATCGTTCCAATTTTAAAGGATGTCCCGAAGGACGAACTGTAGGTTTTGGGCTCAATAGCTGTGATTGTTTATCGCAGGACTCGAAATTACAATAGCTCTATCTTAAATGTACCTGAGTATCCAGCGGCCTAGCTCAGTTGGTAAGGCACGCCAGTGGCATCCCTGAGGTCTTGGGTTCAATCCCCATTAGCCTCATGTACCTTTCTTGGCAAGCTTGGCACCCGCCACCTTGAGATATGCCGTTGGTCCCCCCGAGTGGCATTGAGCAGAGACTGCAGATGTTCATAGGGGGAGGGGACCGGAGGGGAGGCACAGTGACACTCCCTTCGAAGAAGCTCGATCCTGATGCCAGAGACTGCTGATGTTCATAGGGGGAGGGGACCAGAGGGGAGGCACAGGGACTGGCCCATCGAAGACGCTCGGCATTGATGCTACCGGCTGACCCCTGGCCGGTATCGCTCACGTGCTGTAGCAGGTATCGCACCTGCTAGTGGGTGCAGCTCCCGCATGTTCCCTCGTTGGAGGCTTGAGCACGGATGTGGCTCCTATGGGGTTCCCGTAATACTATAATGACAATAGAAAAGGCCTGAAATGCCGTCCTGTCCAGATTGGACAGCTATTTCAATTGGTTAGGGGGGGGGGGGAAAAAAAAATGTGCCTGACGGATTCGGACCCCATTCACGGCGAGACCTGACTGTACCTGACTGCAATTATGTCCATAATCACAAGAGTCAAAAGCAAGAGAAAGGAAAGACTGTAGCATGCCACATCAGCTGCGTAAAAGCATTGTAACTGAAACCACCAGTACTTCCAAAAGTCCCCACCATAAACAAGCCATGATGCGCTGGGCCGAACGGGCCTGGCGGATCTGGTCAAGATTCATTCCAGTGCAAATCACAGGACTCAAAATAAAAAAGAAAGGAGAGAATGTAGGTTGCCACATGGGCTGGGTAAGAGCATCTTCACATTTTTATTAAAAGAAACAAAGCGGTGGCTTTGCCCTATCATGTGCTCATGCATGGCGTGTGATGTGCTTCCTTTGCCCTTTGCCCTAACGGCCTTGAGATATCATCATCATCATCATCATCGAAATGACCATCCCTAGGTAATTCAGAATTGTAGTACGCCATTCATCTGCGTCTCCTGGAGTTCGAACTTGGGGGCACGTGGTTAACAGAGGGCCAAAATTTTTTTCACCGACAGGAGTTCGAACTTGGGGGCACGTGGTTAACGGACGGCCGGAAACTCGCTGTTTTCGCTGACAGGAGTTCAAACTTGGGGGCACGCGGTTAACGGAGGGCCGAAAATTTGCTGTTTTCTTCGACAGTTTCTGTGCAAAAATTCACCAAAATATCTCAACAGTTCAGTTCAGGGGTGTACCAACTGAGCTAGGCCAGTTGGGTAAGAAGATACTAAGAAATCTTAACTAAAACCACCAGTACTTCTGAAAGTGAGCAGTGATGCGCTGGGGTGAACAGGCCTGGTGGGTCTGGTCCATGAATAAGCAAAAAAGTCCAAATGTGAGTATACCCTTTGTTTTTTGGATGCATAGTGTAAATTTTAGAAGCTCTATTATGCCAAACCTAGCCCAGTCTAGGTTGACCGCAGAGAAGACTCTACGGTCTTCACCAGAATAGAGCACCTCGTCTTATCGCTGTATGTAGACTGAAAGGTGCCCCAATACTGCTATACTGTCACTAGGTGGTGCATACTAGTCAATACCTTCACCAAGTAGGGGCAGAACCAAAGATCAACCAATATAGGATGAGCATATATGCAGCGGAAGTCTGAGATATGGACTGACTCACATAGACATGAACTCACCTAGACATCGCTCAACACACAAGCAGTCGTGAGATGGTGGGGTCTGAAGCCATACATAGACGATGCTTCAGCCCAGTACACCCATACACAGATGAATGGTGGGAGGAGAGACGATGGAGGTGGGAGATAGGGACAGTGCCAGATGTCACCGAGATAGAATTCAAAATGTCAGCGATATAGTAGTCCAAGATGTCACCGAACAAACTCAGAATGTCATTGACATAAGTCACCAATGTCGAAGGTACAGAATCCTAATGTAACCGATGTCCGATCTGTGATGCCGCCAGGTATCGATCCCAAGTATCTCCAATGTCTCGAATCGGGTAAGTATCACATCCTCCTACCACTGAAGTCCAATCACTGATCTCTGTCCAACTCGTATCAATACTCTCCAGTCTGAAGAAGAAGAAGAAGAAGAAGAAGCCTGAAGAAGAAGAAGAAGAAGATCCAAGAGGGGCAGAGGAGAAGTGGAGGCGGAGAGAAGAGAGACTGTCCAGGTCCTACCTGCGATGTCAAGGTGTGACCTTGGCGCTGCTGAAGGCCAGCGACGAAGACCGGAGCTATGGACGCTCCTGCAGGTAAGTCGGCCGCTCTTCCTTTAACCTCCACTGCGCTAATCTGCGCTGCATCGTGCTGATGCGCTCAGCGCTTGCTCTACTAAACTTAGCGCAGCGCTACCTCACTGCTGCGTTCCTCCGAAAAATGCCTCCTGAACAGACCGCTGCTGGGTACTAAGTACCGTGGTGGCCTGTTCGGCCTTTCTGCTGCGAAACAGCACCGTGATCTGAATCGTCAGATCCGGTTGCCGATCTGCAGTTTCAGATCGGCCTTGCGGGCGGCAGCCTCAAGGGCGCCGCCAGTCCAAACGGTTTCGTTTGGACCGTGTCTGCCTGGGCCTGTGCGACGGGGCCTACCGGGCGGTCTTCCGCATAAAGGTCCGGCCTTTGGACCGGACCGGCCTGGACTATCGTGTCCAGGCCTGTGGTACCCCTAGGCCTAGTGGTCGGACCCGAAAGGGACCCGTGTGAAATACAGTATGTAACACACTCCCCACCTTAAAAGACCGAGCTATCTGCGAGGGCGAAGTTATTTGTCCGATACCTGGGTGGGTCGGGTGGGACGAACTTTGTCCTTGGCAAGTCGCCGGTTCTCGTTGTCAGAGAAGATGAGTGGTGCAGATGCCTGTAAGTCTGCACGGGAGATCCAGCGAGTGTCATCAGGTGCACATTGCTTGAATGTGACTTTGTGTTGCATTGGCTTGTTGCCAAACTTGCGATGCATGATGACACGATCAACTTCATGATGTCCGTCCATAAAGGGCGGATCTTGTGATCATCTGCCCGAGAACTCATCCTCGGATGGTGGCGTATACACGGCCAGCTTTGATGCATGGAAGACCGGGTGCATGCGGAGGTGTGGTGGAATGGCAATCACAAAGGAAGGGCCGGCACGGTCATCGCCTGCTGCAGAAATTACCTTCCATGGTCCAAACCATTTCGGGAGGAGTTTGCGCGAGACCTCTTGCTCCAGCGCGAATTCCTCGGCGAGGACCCAAACAAGGTCTCCCTCGCAGAAAGGACACGGGAGTCGACGTCGGTTAGCTTGCTGCTGCATGCGGATTTGAGCCTTTTGCATATTTGCGCAGGCTTTGATCAGCAGGTTCCGGTACTTCCGAACGGAAGCGGGAGAGCAAGCGACGTCGATGTCGGCGGCCCGTGGTAGAAGAAGATCGGCAAAGACTCGGGTTTTTTCTCCACCGTGATGCAACTCAAATGGAGTGATGCAGATTGCCGGGTGCACCAAAGTGTTATAGGCGAACTCGATGTCGGGAAGCCGGTCAACCCAATCTTTCTGGTCGGGGCGGATGAGTGTACGCAACATCATTTGGGCGGTCTAATGCGCCCGTTCCGACTGCCCATCCGTCTACGGGTGTCGTGCGGAACTCAACTTCATAGTCGAACCGGACTCCGCCATGAGGGAAGTCCAAAAGGCTGACATAAAGCGAGTGTCCCTGTTGCTCACAATGTCTTCCGAAACACCGTGGCAGGTAATCCAGCCGGTGTGCAAGAGTCGTGGGAGCTCGGGGGCTGTAGCACGATACTTGCATGGAAGAAAACGAACGTACTTGCTCAAACGGTCAATGACCATGAGGATGTTGTCATGACCGAGGCGATCGTGGGGGAACGGGCCTGTAACATCCATAGCAATGGAGAGGCGAGGTGCCCGAGGAATCGGCAACGGTTTCAGTTCGCCGTAAGGGACCTGAGATCTACCTTTGTTACGATGGCAAACTGCGCATGACTCGATGTACCTCGTGACGTCGCGGAGAACGTCGGGCTAATGAAAACGCTGGCGGAGGCGGGCCAATGTGCGGGTCACGCCAAGGTGTGCCGAGAGTCGTGCGTTGTGGAAGGCGAGTCCAAAAGATGCGATCTTGGGGCACCACTGACAAGTCCTTTCCTCTCGTGTGGAGGAGTAGGAACCCGTCGGAGATACGATAGTGACTGGCTGGCGGGTGATCCGACGAGAGCTCTGCGTATAGCGTGGAGTACGTCGGGTCGGACTTGTAGTCGTTGACGAAGTGCTGCTGCAGATCGTCGTTGAGATGGAACGTCGTAGTCACTAGGGCACAAAAATCGGGCCATCGTGAGAGGGCGTCCGCTGCTCGGTTGGCAGGACCGGGGATATGGCATGGGTCAATGTCAAACTGGTCGATGTAATACATCCATCGAC